CAGTTAGAGTAGAAAAACATTACATAAGGACTGATCCTGAGGCACGTGAGTGTGCTGATCCCTGTACCTCTCTTCACCCCACTGCGGAGGTAGACCAGCAGGAGGTCCAGACTAATTCCTGACCCTATGTCAACTTTTAATGCCTTTAATTTAAATTATCCTTCCACAACTACAGATGATATGATTGTTTTCCTACAATCAATCAAGTTTTCCTACAATTGGAGGGCTGATGACGTGTTAAGTTGTAGGTCTGTGACCTGAGAGATGGTGGTCAGAGATGGACTATTTTATAGTAGGAGCCCATAATCTCAGAGTCCGTGCAGCTATTAGTTTGTTCATTTTAGAATAAATTCTCTGGTTTGAGCTTCTCGGCTGTGCACGTTTTGTTAAACTGTGCAGTTCTAACTTGGCCTATCGAAAGCAAAGCGATGCAAAGACGAGTAACAACCACAGACAAAATTCACAAGAGTAAAAAAATTAAAATTAAATTACAGGATTAAATCATCTGTACTTGCAGCCAAACTTTGGTTCTCATAAGCTAAGAGTTCATTCTGCTCTTTCACCCGACGACAGCACTGTTTTATCTGAAATGTGTGACCTTCAGGGGCAACACGAGTAAATCAGAGCACTGGAGTAAAAAAAGTATGTGCCACTAAAATCTGGTGGAAGGCAAAACAATAGAATAAGAATGGAAATCCGTGTGGAGCAGCGAGCGCTGCACTGTCCTTTAAAGCGTCTCTGACCCAGAACTGCGTACAAGCATGTGGACTTAAACTCCGCGGCATCTGGCGCCAAACAGCCTGTAAACCTGCTTCACCTCTGAAGTCTGCGACCCACATGAGCAGAGAGCGAGAACGAGGCAGAAAAACAAAAGCACTGAAGCATGTACAGGAGACAAGTTTCTCCATTAAAACAAAGAGAGAGAGAGAGAGGATGGAGGAGGAGGAGGAGGAGCAGAGGAAGAATTAGCTTACCAGTAGAGTAGAGACAGCCCATCGAATCGCTCAGCGTCTTGGGGGAGGAATGGCATCGCACGATGGCCTCAGACAAACAAGAGCGCTCACACAAACACACACACAAAGAAAAAAAACAGGAGCGAGACGGGCGCCTGAGAGGAGGAGACGATGAGATGAGAAGAGACGGCGGCGGCGGTTCAAACCGGGACGGTGTGTGTGACCGCACAGAGAGGAGAGGAATGGAAATCCGCCTAGACAGGGAGAGACACGCTTACCTTTACTCACTAATCCGTGCTGATACCCGTCACACACACACACACACACACACACCAAACTTTAAAGTTTCCTTCAGCTGCAGGATGAGAGCATTAAACAGGAGATTAAATGTGTTGAAATGGAGCCTCTGTGGGTGAAGATCACCTGTAAGGCAGGAAGTTCAGTTCAGGCTCACATTTGGAGACTGGTTAGGATGGTCTCCTGGTTCATACGTCATCACAAAGTTTGAACTCTTCACACCACTGCAGCTGAAATCTAGGCCCAGTACTCGTTAGCTTCCTTCAGCTGTAATATCAGCAGTGCGAGCTGCTTACATCAAACCAAAGTGTCAGGCGTGCTTACTGTCTCATTCCCAGCTGATGAACCGCGACTCTGCTGAGCCTGATACTCACATCATGACTTTAAAGCAAAGACTGGACTTCTCCTTTTAAATGTATGTAGTTTGTTGCCCAAGATGGACTTTTTTCATATTTAGGTATAATCCATGACTCAACACATTTATCACTGACAAAGAACTTAGCATTGAAGCCAGGGTGCCCTTTGTCACAGATTCTGTTCATAATTTTTATGGACAGGATTTCTAGGTGCAGCCAAGTGGCGGAGGGCTTTCAATTAGGTGGCCTCAGAATCTCATCTCTGCTTTTTGCGGATGATGTGGTTCTGTTGGCTTCATCGGGTGAGGGCCTCCAGCTCGCACTGGAACGGTTCGCAGCCGAGTGTGAAGCAGCGGGAATGAGGATCAGCACCTCCAAATCTGAGGCCATGGTTCTCAGCCGGAAAAGGGTGGAGTGCCCACTCCGGGTCAGGGTCTTGTCCCGGGACGAGTGGAGGAGTTCAAGTATCTCAGGGTCTTGTTGAAGAGTGACAGAAGGGAGCAGGAGATTGACAGAAGGATTGGTACCGGTCTATTGTGGAGGAGAG